TTATATTAAAAATATAAAAAAAAAAGAAAAAACTATGTAAAAAATAATAAAATAATAATAATATAATTTATTTTCTTTCTAAAATTCTCTAAAATTATTCTAAATATCAATTATTTAATATTAACATTATTTAAATAATGTAAAATAATAAATAAAATAATAAAATCTGATCTATTTCTCTTTTAAAATCCCTCAAAATTATAAAAAATAATAAATAAAATAATATAAAAAATAGAAAAATTGACTTCTGAAATTACATAAAAAATTATAAAGATAATAAATAAATAAATAATATAATATAAAAATAAAAAATCAATTTTAAAATTGGTAAAAAATGTAAAATAATAAATAGAAAAATAAAAAAATAAAAAAATCAACTGTTAAAAATCCCTTTAAAAATGCAAATAATAATAAAAAATAGAAAAAATCAATTTTAAATCACTCAAAATTTATTGGTTTCAAATTATTTACTATTATATATTATGCGATTTTTATCACTTTTAGTAGCAGATAATATTTTTTTTTAATTTCTGTAAATTCTTCAATTTTTATCATATATTCTTTTGAAATAATATCTACTTCAATTTGATATTTTTAATTTGTATCAAATTGAGTTTTATATGACTATTTAAAAATATAGATAGAATATGATCAGTCATAATATTGCAAATTAATATTTGAAATAATAATGTAATTTTAGAATTAAAAATAGGTATTACAATTAAAAAAATAGCGCAATTAAGTTGTAACTTAATTAAAATTTGAAAATAATTATAAGAACGATCTTTAATTAGAATTGAGTATAATATTTTAGCTAAAAAAAATAATAAGAAAGAATATTAATATAAAATATATTTAATAAATTTGAAAAATATAAAATATAAAGAAAATAATAAATTTCAATTTTTAATAATCTTTTTTATCTATTTTGCTGATTTTAGGTGAATAATATTGATAATTAGTAAGCATTTGAAATAAAGAATACTACTCATATTAATAATTTATATAACATTTTTCTTGAATAATTATTTAACAATCTTTATATATTAAATTTTTTTTAATAAATAAGAAATAATATTAAATTATTGAATCAAATAAACCTAAATTTATTTTATTTGCTTATATTTTATAATTGATTATTATTATATATTTATTATTATTTTAAATAGTTTTTTTTTTTTTGTTTATATTTTTAATAGAAAATTTTTAAGTAATATTTTTATTATATTTTTGTGAATTTTATATTAAATTTTTATTAATAATAAAAATTTAATATTTAATAAATTTAATTAAATAAAAATATACTGATTCTATAAACTTATTTCATTGAATTAATACTAATTAAAGCTAATTTTAAGCTGTTTTATAGTTGTTTAAATTTTAAATTAATACTAAATTATTTATTTAATTAAATCAATCAATAGTATTTTAAGCTAATTAATAGTTAAATCTAAGTTTTAAATTGAGATTAAATTAATGTTAAATTAATACTAATTTTAAGTTGATTAAATTTAAGTTCTGAATTGATATTAAATTATTTTTATTTAATTAGAGTCAATATATAATAATTTAGATAATTAAAAAATATACTAATCAGTTGTAAATAATATTAAAATCAGCTTAAATTTAGCTATTTAATTTTTAATTGATTTGAACTATTTTATCTAATGTAATATATAGGACCTTTACAATAGAAAGAGAGGAAACTCCAAAAAAATTAAAATTTTAGTTTATAAGCCAAAAATGTTTCAAATACTATAATTTGTTCAGATTTATTATTAACTCATTTTTTATTTTTTTTTGAGTTTCCTCCCTTTCTATTGCAAAGGCCCCATATATTAAAATATTATCAGATTTATAATTAGATAACTTTTTATAAACTTTTTCATATTTTATTTTAAAATTCTTATTTAATAGTTAATCAAATAAATATTTAACTAATTAAAATAAGTTTTAATTAGCTAATTAATTAATTTTTTAATTAATTAACTAAAAATTTATTAACTAAAATTTTAATAATAATTTTATATTTTACAAAATTATTAAAAATTAATAATAAAAATTATTTAATATAATATTTTAATTTTTATTATATATAATTTAAACATTTTGTAAAATACTTTTTATACTTTATTATTTTTTATATATTTTTAATATATATAAATAATTATATTTATTATTATATTAAAATACTTAAAATTTTATTGTATATTTATAAGTAATTTTATATTTTTTATTAAATAATAATAAAAAATTAATTTATTATACTTTATAATATAGTATATATAATTAATAAATCTTAATTTTTATGAAAATAAAATTAAAAAAATTATAATAAATAAATAGACAAATTTACTTATAAATTCTTATAATTAAAATAAATAATATATTTTAAATAAAAAAAAAATAAAAACTTTTAAATATGAACTTTAAATATATACAGTCAACTTTTGATATAGTAAACTCTTGATATAACAAATTTTTTGAACAAATAAAATAAAAATACTTTTGTTATAGTGAATTGGCCAATCAATCTCTTAAAATCTTCACTATAACCTTATAGCGAAGTTGAGGTCTAGGACATAGAGTTTGTTATAATAAGAGTTGACTGTATAACTTATTTGATGTAAAATTTTAATAAATTATTATAAATACATTAATTATACAAATTATTTATAATTAAAATAGATGAATATATATTTTATATTATTATATATTACTAATTATATAATTAGTTATATATAAATAAATAGATTAATCATAAAATATTAAAATTTAAAAATTTTAAAATAATTTAAATAAATATCTTTATTTAAATTATCATAAAATTAATTTAATCTGAATTTAAAATTAGTGTTAGATTAATACATTTAATTTAAATTTCTATTTTAAAATTTAATATTTTATTAGAATAATAAATTGTAAACTTTATTTAAAATATATAAATTTATAAAAAAAAATATTAATAATTTTTTTTTAAAATTGTAATTTTTGTGAAAAATGATTATAAATTATATTTTATAATACAAAATAAAGATTATAATCAGAATAATTATAAATTATATCTATTATATCTTAAAATTATATTTTATAATTTAAAAAATATATTACAAATATATTTTATTGTGAACTTAATATTATAGTTTAAAAAAATTTATACATAAAATTTGTTAAAAAAAACAAATATTTAAATATATTTCATCGTGAAATATCACGTGATTATAGCATTGTAAGACGTATTTATTAAAAAAAAATTCTCAATAAATTCAATTTATAAATCATGAAATTATTACAACAAAAAACGACATATTTTAATAATATTACTGTTAAAAGAATGGATAAGAGAAGTTAAGATATACTTTTGGTTATAATAAAATGAATCCTTAAATGAGTATCTAACGTTATGTAAAAAATAATATTTGATATATGATATAATACTTTTTATATATTGTCTTTGATAATAACTCTCAAAGAAAAACGTGTTAAGAAAATAAAAGAATGACGGCGATTTTTTTTTTTTTTTTTTTTAAAAAAAAAAATTAACATTTTTCTCTGATTCTTTCCCTTAAAAATTAAATTAATCAAAATATAATAATAATATTTTTCTTTTTTTTTTTTCCTATTTCGTCAAAAAAAAAAAAAAAAAAAGGAATTTAATTGATTTCTTTTATTTCTTTTCCTATTCTTTTCCTTCCTTCCCCTTATTAATACAAGAGGGAATTTTTGTCATTTCTAAAATATCTTCCAACTTTTCCAAAACAACTTTTGCATTTGAAGTTTCAATATTATCTAATACTTCACTACAAGCATATAACCACCAAGTTTTCCAAACCTTAATCATGTCGTCAACATCAATGACCGCGTCATAATCTTTTTTCAACAAAGCGGGTTTAATTACATTTTTAGTTAAGTTAACTAATTCACTCTCAATTTTTTCAACGATTTCAAATCTCCATTCAGTAGTACAAACACCTTCACTTTCATCGTATTGTTCAACCCAATTACAATCATCTTTCAGCAAGAGTTTTGCTATGAAAATAATATAACAAGCAGCATTTAACCAATCACCAATTTCAACTAATTTATAACAAAATTTTTTGTAATTTTGTTCAAACCAATTTATAAAGAATTTTCTAGCATAATCTTGAGATACATGCTGTCCCGTTTCAATATCGTAAAAAAAGCTTCGCCCGCTCGAATTATAATGTTGATAATGTTGAAGGAAAGAATCCGAATCATAATTGTTATCATTACTATTATTATTATTATTATTATTATCGAAGAAACCATCATCAGATAAATCTTCATTTGAACTCGAACAATAATCATCGTAATCTATTCTAGCAGTATGATCTCCATATTCTGTGCACATGGTTTCAAAATGTCTTTGCGCTAACAATTTAATAAACATTTTCCTTGAAAATATACGTTCAAATGGAACTTGCAATAAAAGAGCATCCAATATTGATTCGGCACTAAGATCATGATCAGATTGATGTGAGATGCCCATTGACTTTGAAATTTCTTTGCGCTTCTCGTTGATTATCGGTGTCGTAGATGATGACATGGGGGTTGATGTCGTTGACGTGGTGCCATACGCAGCAGATTGTGATATTGAATATGTTGAAGTGTTAATGTATGTGGCCAATCGAGACGACGATGAGGAATTTTTCAAATCATTTCCATCTAATTGAATGTTAATCCCTTGACGAGCCAATTCTTTGTTCATGGAAGAATACTTATTACGTATATCTTGTTCATATAAAAATTTTAGAATAAATTGTAATTTAACGGCAGTGACCTCAATAACTTCAGAAACCATTTCATGTTTATGTAAAATCTTCGTTAAGTCCGTACGTAAATCTTCGTAAATTGATTGTAATTCAAAATGACGAAATACTAAACAACAACTTTCTAAACCTTGATTAATTAATATAACGGATTTAAATCTTTCCATTAAGGACCTTAAAAATAAGTGACGTTCATTAAGCTGAGCCAATTTCTGTTCTATTTCTGCTTCACGATAATAGATTTCATTATTCGCTAAAGAAGAATTTGATGATAAATTAATAATTCTAGATAATGAGTTAGATGATGAATGATTTTTTTTAAAATCCATTACGAACGAAAAGATACCATTAGATGATTTTAATTCATCCTCACTCTCATTATTATATGACCAGTCATTCGAAAATGTTGATAATAAAGATTGTTTGAACTCATTTTTTAAGAAGGTCATGATCTCCGTATGACGTTTTCTTAACGAATTACCATAAACGTAAAGTTTTTGTTGGCACATTAAATATCTATAATGAAATTGCATCAATGCATTAATGTACCAACGCTGTTTACCATCGTTAGCAATTGTTGAGATTTCTTTTGAATTTGCCAATTCCCTTAGACGAAATCTTCTGATCATTCCAACAATTCCTTTAAGTAACATGTCTCTCGTTGGTTTTGTACTTTGCCATGACATAAAATCTACGTCTCTTATGGTTTCATTATTGTTATCATTGTTGTTATCGTTGGAAGGGGTGATGTTTTCTGTGGTCATGGCTGTTGATGACGATGATCCCGAGGTCAAATTAAATTTAGTTCCGGAATGTTTATAGAGGGTTAAGTTGTCAAATTTCTCAAGGATTTCCTGTAGCGTACTAGTATGAGCAAAATAATCTTTTCCAGGTGGTGATTCGATTATTAAAACTCTATCTTTAAATTTTGAACAAGTAAACAACATTCTTTGCACAAGAACTGAATACAAACACTCAATTGATACACCATCCTTTTTTGTCCTAACCTTAACGACACGTACGATTCCCTTCTTGTTGAAAAATATGGCAGAATAATCATTACCATCTGATCCTATCGCCACGTTATAAACTCCAGAACGAACTACTATTATCGGCACACATTTTAAATCTTGTGGTTTAATTGCCAATGATTTCTTATGCGATAATGATGTTATATTCGAAGGGTATAAAGGGAAATCAAATATTGAATAAAGTGTTGACGTAAATCCACGTAGCGTTTTACACGTTTGTGAGATCGCGCAGCGGTCCAATACGTTTAACGTTGGTTGAAGAAGTACGTTTTCCACTACGCATGTTGGTTGGGTGAGTAAATGTGATATCCTTGATGATGTCATTCCGAGAGGCGCAGCAAGCGAAAGAAAACTTTTCAATCAGCCTATGGAATTCAAATTGCAATTGATTTTTGGTAAATTGATATTATATTTTATGATACATGTATAGACTTTACGCCAAGGATGATCCAAATTGGAAATGTCTTTATTGAAAAGAAAAGAAAGTTAAAAAAAGGGATGGATGAGATGATCTATTGAAAAAATACACATGCATGTATACAAAAGAAAAAGAAGAAATCAGTAATCGGTTAAAAAAAAATTCTTTTTTTTTTTTTATATCGCGTTAACTTGAACTTTGAAATTTGAATTTTGAAAAATATTTTGAGCCAATTATAATAATATACATATATATTTAATATAATGAAAGAAAAAAAAAAAAAATTTACCTTTTTTTAAAAAAATTCTCTAGAAGAAAGAAAAAAAAAATACTTGTGAATCAAAAAAAGTAATTTGAAATTAAACAATAATGATTCTAAGAGTTAAAAAAAAATAAAATAAAATAAAAAAATGGATTAAGCAACAATTTAAAAGAGGTCTTTTGCTTTAATTATATATATATTGATTAACGCACACTATAAAGATTATTGGAATATTATCGGAGAAATACTATGAAGATTTCCATAGAAGAAACGTGACCTACACGTAACAAAAATAATTTATTGGGAATTATTATTAAAGACGAATTAGGTTGAATTTAGTTCGAGAAAGTGCAGATAGATTTTTAAGATTTTACAAGTGATCTAGATTAATTGTCACCGTACCGTTACCCACCTTGAAATTATTGAAAATTATTGAATTTATGACGAGAGATTAATATGGGGGGCGTAAAATTTTATGAATTGAAGGAATCGGAAAGTTACTGCGGCATAATTAATTAAAAAGGGGTCTCGTGTTATGTACCAAATATATATTTAGGAGAACTAAAAGGGTGACAAAAAAAAAGTTGAATTTTAAAGGTGAAAAAAAGAATGGGTTTAAAATAAAAATAAATAAATACAAAAAAAATTGGAAGAGAAAAATTATATCGGGACACTTTTATAATATTATTAATTAATAAACCGTTTATTAGATATATAAAATAAGGGAATTCAAAAAAATCACCTTTTGATTTATTACAAAAAAAAAATTTCCGATTTGGTAAATCGAATCTATATATGTTCTAGATTAGTGTAACGAAAAATAAAAAGTCTTGGCAAAACTATATATAATAGAAAAAAAAGAGAACCATACCCTGACTTTTTATTATGCATGCAACATTTTATGCAGCTAAATTAAAGTCCACGTGATCTAAATTATATGGAAACCTTTATATAAATCAGCAAAAAAAAAAAATGCCAAGAAATTTTGTAAAACTGTAGAATATTCTGGTAATTAATATTTAATCATGTGATCGCTTGAAAGAATGCTATTTCGATTAGATGATCAAAAAATGTCTTCTAAATTATTATAATTTTGTATATGTTGGGAACACAATGTACGATCTTTGCTTTCCGTATAAAAATCGATTATAAAGTTACACTACCGCAAATGGCTCTTTTCTATAACCACGGCCCATTTTCCCTATCCTATTTAAAAAAAATAATTATCAATGATCATAAATTGCCAAGCCGATTTCAAAAATTCTGAAAAAAAAGCAGACGAGAAGATCATGTGATCTATAAACATTCGTTACAAAAACGGAAGTTATGCAGTGTAACATGTCGGGCATTTAATGTTCCAAATATAGTTATAATGCATATAATAATAGTGGAATTTTACTCCAATTGTATTCACTTTTAATTCAAATGTTATCCAGTTTTACCTAGACCATATTTTTCACATATTTTTTGCACATCTTGTAATCCATTTAAGTCACCTTGAGCTACTATTGTAACTTGACCTGTACCATTACCCTCATTATGTACTTGACCTCTAACTACTTTTCTTGCTATTCTCACAAGTTCTTCCAAGGTAACATTATCAATTTTTTTACACATTTCTTCTACAGGTACTTTATAACCATAAACCTGAACCTACGTTTTAGATTAAAGATTAATATACGCAAGATTAAACATCTATAAAAATTAACATATAAAAATGCACACCTGTCTCCCCAAATCTTCTAATTGGACCATCCTGGATTCTAAATTCATGAGCAAACTACTTTTTAATTGATTTTTTGCGCGTAAAAGTTCCAACTGTGTTATACATTCGCTTCCGAAACCTGATACAAAATCAAATTGTTGTGCAATAACATCTATAATGGAAGTATTAAACTCTGGATTACATGATGCCATAATACCAAAAAGTCCAGAGTCGGTATAACAGTGATTAAAGCACATGCAAGATTCCATCCATGGATACCTATTAAGCACATGTGTAAACAGACGAGTATGCATTCCTTTCCCAGGTCCACCGGCCGAAAAAGATCCACCTCCACCAAGAAGCATTTGAAGTACTGCAAGTCCATAGATATCTGGATCATGAACTGGAAGCCCTTCAAAAGCAATGTTAACATATGTATTCGGAAGTGGGTGATTTAAAAACAGTGAACCGCCTGTGTAATGTGCTCTCTGAGTTGCTGTTGCATAATTTGAATTTGCATGAAGAAGTGATGAAGCTGCCGTTGTGATTGTTTTATAGAACGATGCTCCTGTTTGCTTTTGTTTTGGTGTTGTAAATGGTAACAAAGTATGTGCATTAAATTCAGCTGATTTAGGCATATCGCCAAAATATTTCATCGTCTGTTCAACAGCATCTTCATGTTGAGATCCAGCAAAGGCTACAACCATTCGCTCTGGACGATACCATGTTGACATATATTCTTTAATCAAGTTTGGTGTCATCATAGCAAGTCTATCCTCTGGACACAACAAAGGATTTCCTAACGTATTATCCTTAAATGCCACTGTATGAAGTAGTTCTGGTAATATCATTTCAGGTTTTTGCCATATTTCCTGAATTTCATAAAGTGCTGTTTGCTTTTGTTCCTCCACTTCTTCTGGAGTAATACAAAGATTGCGAATAACGTCTGAAAAAAGAGCTATAGTCTTAGCAAGATCCTGAGAGAAAATAGCAGACTGATACATAATGGTTTCACGACTACTAGCACACATTATATTGCCACCAAGAGAATCTACTATCGAATTAATTTGTTCGATTGAATGATTTTGTGTACTCTTTTTTTTTATAACCATAATAATAATAATTTTATAAGAATGGAAAAACGCAAATATTTAAAATATACTTATGTATTAAATATTTACCTTGAATGCTAGTCGATCTAATATATGACTTATACCCAAAGTTCGTGGTGTCTCGTACCTAGATCCTGCATCAATATACAAACCAACGGCCGAAAAATGACCTGGGGTATTTTCAGTTGCAACACGTACACCATTTGGCAGAGTTGTAATTTGTGTTATTCCATTAGAACTTGGTAATGATGCTTCTAATTTCTATGTAATCGTTAACGCGCAAGAAGTATATGTATCAAATTCAAAGCCTTAAAATAAAATACAAGGATAAAATGCAACAAAACTCTACAAACCTTTCTTGTGTTGGTTTCTATATAAGGAAGGTTCGTGACTGAAGAAACAGATCGCACTGAAATGTTTCTTAAGGCAAGGAAACGGTGACGAAATGCGCGAAGTATTTGGAACGAGTACATTACAACTTCTCGAAATCTAGAGGAATTATTTTTGATTTCGTACACCAGATCACGTGTTGGGTCGCACCGACAAAATTAAAAAAAATGGGCAGTTTCGAGGATTGCTTACAAATCGATCTCAATCTAAACTGAATCTGTAAAAGTAAATTGTTAATGAAACATCTTATCTTTTTGAAATTGATTTGTTATATCTCTAAATTTTGAGACTTTTTTTAAAATAAAAAAAAAAAAATAATTTATTATTTAATAAATATAAAGATTTTAATAAATCTAAATTTTTATAATAATTGATTTTGATGATTTTCTATAAGTTTAAAATCTTATGAAATTTATATAATTTCGCAATTTGTAATTAATTTAAAATATTTCATATTAGTATTATGTAATTTTATTTTTTTTAAAGCTTATTTTATTAATAATATTCAAATTCAATAAAAAAAATCCTAAAAAAAACTAGTTACAAAAGTAGAAAAAAATAAAATAAACTGCTTAATAATTATAATTAGAAAATTTCTATCAGACCAACTATTTGTTCTGTTAGGTTCTAATAATAATTACTAGTAGAATTAGCATTGCTATTCAATTAAAAGAAGTAAACGTTTGATAACTAACTATTACTGCATAAGGAATAGTATCCATCTTCAACTGTATATATAAGAGTTTTTAATTAAAGTAAGATAATCAATATTAGGTATTGTAATTGCTAAAATTCTGTTTATACAAATTATTAACATTTTCTGATTTCAATAGCTTTGATAAAAGCTATATCTTTTTAATTATTTCTGCCACTCGTTTTTAAGAGAATTTGTTATAAATTAATTTTATTTGTTTAAGAATCTTATTTTTAATTATTTTATTTATTCTAATTAAGTATTTTATCATTTCATTACTTTATTAATTCCTTTCAATTTCATTATTTCAGCATATCATTCTTTTTTATGAAAGTTCTTTATTTTAATTTGTTGTTATTTTTATTATTTATTTTCTTTTTTTTTCTCTGTTTGATTATTTTCTTATAATTTTCTTTCTTTTTATTTTTTTAATCTTCAGTTTTTTTACTTTTTCATAGATGTAAGATTTTTATTATTTCTTTACTTTATTCTTTTATTTTTTGAGTCTGAACCTTTTATTCGATTATTTTATTATAATATATTTTTTTTATATCTTTTATTTATTTATCTTATTTAATTTTTTTTCTATTAATGATTTATTAGTTTTAGTTTATTATTAAGTAAAGTAGTAAATACTCAAATAACTTTTAATGGCAATTCATTTATAACTTTAATATATCAAAGAAGTAGTTATATAGATATAGAAAGCGATTAATAGAAAAGGAAAAATTCACTTTTTAGTC